ACACCCCTGATTATGATTCATAAATAATGTTCGAACCATGAATATCAAATGTGAAAACTATCATGAAATGCTCATGCTAAATTGTTCAAACCTTAATTGCTGAGAACAAATGTGCAACACCAGTCTGGGACCAATCTTTACCAACCAGAGGCATAAACTGACCAAGAACATCTGATCTGTACATAAATGCAAAATAAAAGGTAACATTTCATACAGAAGACAATGACAAAACAATAATAATTTAACATGATAGTTGCCCAGAAAGGAATATGATGAATAGTGCACATAAAATTCAATGTGACAAAGCACTAACTGTTATCCAAGACAGTTTCATGCCCAACTCGCATGGTTAATTGGTTATGTGGACCAGCTCAGTGTTTGATACTACATGGATGCTGGGTTCAGAACATACCTGATCTGTTTATTCCTAACTGGGTCAGATCAAATTTAACCTGAGACAACTACCTGAGCTAACGTCATTGCCACCCTATTGAAAGTCTCCTATTAGAGAGTTAGAGTCCCACCCACACAGCATCACTTTCAAACAAAGGACCTTGGCCTTCCAAGTTATTTCCAAGGTATTGAAGTTGTTCAATCCAAGAAAGGGATAATCCTCTCTATGTAGAAGTATGTTGGATATGCGATGCAGAGGACAAAGGTATGCTGGATATGCCATGCAGAGTAAACATGTCAGGATGCATAGGACTAGATGCTCCATTAGATCCGCATTTAAGTTGTTACAGGCCAAGAATCATTGGGAGACCCAAGAATTACTAGACAATAGCCCAACCAGATATCTCATACCCAGTGGGTGTTGTCAGTTGATTCGTATCAACCCCGCGAGAACGAGCTACTGGAATGTTGTACTATAGATAGTTTGTTATTTGAAGGGTACCACGGGCAAAGGACTCATATATTCAGACTGACAACAATGGAGTGACAGGTTGAGGCAGGACAATCGTGGACTATCGATTAAAAGCCAATAGGATTGATTGGGATCTTTCTTGTTAAGGAATTAGGTAGGACTTATTTAGGATTTGATTTTTATTTGCTTTGGGAGTTCTTTCTGATTTAGTTAGAATTTGCTAAGACTTGCATTCTTTTTTTCTTCTTTTTTTGCTATTATTCGATCAAAGCTGCTAACACAGGACAGGAAGTGACATTGCAGTTTGCTCTCTACAAATCAATGTGTTTTATGTAATTCCAGGCATGAAGAAAGTCGCTTATCATTTGTTTCCAATTGCTAACACTCTATGGGTCTTGAATAGTGATATGGATTGGATTCAGTTCACTTGGAAAGCTTGCAATTGGAGAATGCTGACTGTTTGGTATACTTCCAGTTTGATAGCCAATGGTTTTATGCAAAAATTCAAGAGATTAGCTCTCTATGTGTTTCAGTTGACATGTTGTAGCAAGAGAGAAACCTTTGAGCACAAAGCTCAAGAGATGGATATGCTGATCAGAGTTATTAAAACTTCAATCTTGTTGATGTCTTTAATGGTGATATACCTGATGATTGTAGGAGAAGAATAGAAAATCTGTAGCTCTTTTATTTGTTGTCCTTTCTTAGCTACTACTGTAATTGATTGTAATCGCAGGTGTCTTTACCCCTGTGTAACTTGATGCACTTCAGCTCCCCATTTGGTGAACGAACAAAGCTCATTTTCATTGACCCAAAAAAAATATATATATGATTTGGCTAGGGTTTTGATTTGTTGCCTTTCATGATTGTGTGCTTTTCTCTTCTATGAAAAAATGAGTGATATTCCATGAGGAATAGACCATGATGAACGCAGGAAGAAATCTGAATATTTTCAAGCATGTCAATTGCTTCTTGCCTTGAGCATGTGAAGTGCTTTGGCACGTGCATTGTCTCCTTGGGTGTGAAGCTCATAGGTGTGAAGCATCTCTTTTAGGCGGTTGTCAAGCCCTTGGTTATGAAGCCTATTTAACAAACTCTTCTCATTTTAGTTCTACATTTAGAATGAAGCTCTCACCCCATCCCCCATCACTTGATATTGGAGCCAAAAAGACCCATCATTTTAGCTTCGACATCAACAATACAACAATTTAAAAGTCCATTAATGATATCCAACTTTAAACGTCGAGGGTGAGTTTTCTCCAAGAAGGGGAGATTTGATGCAGGATGATAGTGGACTGTCGACTAAAAGCTAACAGGATTATTAGGATATTTGTTTTTAAGGAACTAGTTGATGTATTCTTTTAATGTGAGGTAGGATTTATTTAGGATATGATTTTTATTTGATTTGGTATTTACTTCTGGTTTAGTTAGATTTGATAAGATTGCAATTTTATTATGTTAGGATATGATTCGGTTAAGATTTTTAAGGAACAAGTTGAAGAGCAAGAAGCAGAGTGTGATTTCCAGGTCAAGTGAATCGGAATATCCAGTCACGACCAACTTTATCTGTAAGTTGATCTGGATTGATCTGGATGAAGGATGTTCTCGATGAGCTTGAATTTATCTAGCTTCTCTAATTCATCCACTCATCAGCTTGCCAACTTACTCACTAAGCCTCTTAGTGTATATCAAGTGAAGCTCATCTGTGACAAGCTGGGCATATATGAGATATATATTCCAACATGAGGAGCGAAGATAAATGTGTAGAAACACTGTATCACATGGTGCTAGATATGGGGTCATGTCATTTGACTGGAAACACTGTATCAACCACAGGGTCCTAAATATCACGTGTAGATGCGATATATCACGTTGTACTAAATGTGAAATCTATTTATTATGAATAGGACTCAAAGGGAAGAGTGTAATCAAGCTTTCTCATCCTCTCCCTCTTCCTCACATTCTCTCCCTCTATTTCGTAGGAGTCGTCTACAATCAGAACTCAGTCGACAGATATATTAGCATAAATGAAATCAACCAATTTTAAACATAAAAAGCCCAGAGTTTACTTTGTAATTGTTCCATCAACATCTGAGATAACTATTCGTGTATTCCATTTCCATAAATATATCCTAGCATCCACCTGTAACGGATATTGATGTCAGCATGCAGGACAGAAAGGTATGGCATAGAGTCAAAGGTAAACCATGAAAAGAGAAAAAAGTTAAAAAAATGAACCTGTTGCTGCCCAAGCATTGCAGTTGAAAAGCTGAAGGTTATCACGTTCCGACCTTCTCTAAGATTCAATGAAGCAAGGTCCTCAGAACTTGGAGTAAGTGACCGCACCTTCTTCTTTGTACGTTTGTCTCTTTCTGTATCGTCATGGCCAATTGAGCTTCGACTTCTCAAAGGAGTAACATTCACATTTTCCTGGATTTTACTTTCTGGAATAGACCGCACAGTACTTATGGTTTTCGACTTCTTTAAACTGAATGGCCATAGTCTCCAGCTTCCTCCAGATGGAACTATAGCTCCTGACGAATCATGACTGCTCTTCCTCTCATCTTTGTCCACAGCTATCATACCTTGAGGTTCAAATATCTGTTCCTGACCAAAACAAATTGTTCCCAAAATAATAGGTGCAGCTGCATCCCATGGAAAATAACGACCTCCAATTCTGACAATTAGCTTATCATTCTTCACAAGGGACGGGCCCAAAGTAGAAAACTTTTCAAGGTTCACCTTATTAGCGTCAAATACTCTCGAAGCAGCATCAGCTCCCATACCATAAAATAACAAGTCTTTGCAGAGGGAAAGCTCTGTGTGAAGTGTAGATACAGGACAGCAAGAAACAAGAAAATGTCAAGCAAAAAGTCAAAAAATCCCAACACCTGAACTATATCTTCACCACTTTTGAAAGATGATAACTTTGTTAAGTTCTCACTACAGAGATTCAGCAAAAGAAGACTTTGATGCATTTTTCAATCCCAGAAAGTATATGTGAAAGAAAAACATGAAGTGTATTCATTTATCAATTACGAGAAAATATAATCCACTTACCAACAGTAGGATTGATTGGACTGGCGTTTCGGTCTTGCTTGTTCTCAGAATCAACATCTGCAACAGCAGCTTGAAATTCATGGATGTCTTGTTTTACGTCCCTCCCAGAATCTGACAACTTCGCAAAGCTAGACATTTCATTCTTCAGCAAATCTTGCTCATAACTTCGCGGACTAGAATCTAATGAACAGCTTAGTGTACGAAGAACATTGGAAGTTTCAAGATCATGGATTTTAGAGCGGATGATAGGTAAAGAATTTGTTGACAGTTCAGTTTCTCCGGACTGCAGTGTGCTTCTGGGAATAGCCACTGGACTACTCTGACTTCCTGACACGCTTTCAAAGCAATCTTTTAGATTTGCATCGTTCAGCTCATGTTCATCTCTGTCACCTTGAGACTTCAGCAATGCACTTTCATCTGTTTCTGATGATGAATTGCTGACTTGTACCTCAGGATTGACCTGTTGAATAGCAAAACTGTCAATATCACTGAACTGGAATTGCTCGTTATTCAAACTCTGTGATAGTGAGAATCTGGATTCTTCTTGGGAAATATTGAGCCTGTTCTGATAGCATGATTCTTCATGTTCATCTGAGCTAAAGGGAAGTTTGATAGCTTCTCTCTCTTCATAGTTGATGACGGTCTCAGAAGAACAAGACTTTTGGGGAAACTCAACATTAGAACCATTTCTTTCTGTATCCTGAGAGTCCTGACAGACAGATGAAACCTCCACGTTAGATAACTCCAAGTCTTGACTAGGGCTTCCACCATTACTTTCTCTGTCTGTGGCTTTATCTGATTTTGGCTTTGAAGGTTCTTCACATATATGCTCACTTGTATTAGAGGTAATTTCGGGATATTTTTGCACTGGTCCACCCCCTCCAGAGGAAAGATCCAAAGTATTGTTAGTTTGCGTGGAAAAATCAAAGATAGCAGTCGAGCTTTCTAATGCCTCCATATAACTAAACGATCTAACTTCATTTTGTTCCCTACATATTTCTTCTGGTGCAGACACTGTCTGATCATCTGCTCTTGAATGAGGAATTTGTGCCTCATTGGTGAAGTTGTCATGAACAGATCTGTTTGATGATATATTGTATTCATCAGATTCCACCATTACCAATTCAGAAACCAATTTACTGCTATCACCCAAATCACCAGGTTCCATGGTGTAAATCTCTACGACTTCCTCATGGGTTCTCGAAGTTGAAGTTTGGGTCACAAAATGCACTTCTCTTACCATCTTAGGCCGATGATTATCGCTCAAGTTTTCATTAATGGAACCAACTGATCCTTTAGCAGAATCCTCAATAGTTGAGGGAGGATTTGGATCATCAACAAGGTTGTTAGAAGCTACCACTGGGGAGTTAGAAATTACTACTTCTTCAAAATGCTCTCTGCTTAGAGTAGTTGTAGGCGAACTATCATCCGTGTGCCCGTTATGAGAACTAGCCATTTCATTTTCGACAATGCACGCATCAAAATCCCTTCTATCATCGGTTCTAAAGTCATTTGATTGAAGATTAGTCGACCACTTAGTATCTAATAGATTAGCTGCTATTTCTGCGCTCTCCAGTGAACTAACTCTATCAACATTTGCTCCCGAATCATTTCCCTTCATTGACTTATTCCCAAACATAAGCCCAAATATCCGAGCCCTCCGTGAGTTCGTCCTCGACACGACCTTCCCATTCCCATTCTCCAGAGTCACAGTTTTTTCCCTCACACTTCTCACCTTTTCATCAACTTCATCTCCCGACGTAGATGGAGATATTTCAAAATCCTCCCCTTCTTCCGTAGAATCAGAATCCTTAAGAAAGTAAGCCTCTCCTCTGGGATCTAAGTACATATGAAACCCAGCCTCAACTCCATTGACACAAATGGTGACAACCTTCTCTGTTGTCCTTAAGACTCCTTGAAATTTACCGAACCGAACATACCATGGCGATGATTTGAAGCTCCCATCTTGCTGCTGGACTACGATAATATCTACAGCTCCTCCAAAAGGGTGGAAAGGGCCGGAAACAGTGTAAACCCCTCTGGTGATGTAGCTGCTGAGTTTCTCTACTGCATACATCTCCCCAAGTTGCAGTTTTTACGGCAACCCGGATCATAAAACTTCGGGTATAAAAAGAAATACTCTCAAATACATCAACTGTCCCCAAAAGCCCAGATCAGAAGCAAACCAAGTTCTAACTAAAGATTAGATTTTGGCCACTACCCAGATCAGAAAAAGAGTCCAAACTCCCAAATCTAATCTCAAATTCAAGAAAATTCTAGGATCGAAATGAGCCAAGACTGCAATTCATCAAAACCTCACCCCCACCCCCACCCCCCAAAAAAAATTCGGGAACCACCCAGTCAGAAAACAATCCTAAGTTCCTAAGTTCGGAAGAAAAATTCACGTAGAGATAAATCTTCAGGATTACCGATTGAAAGCCTCGTGCTTTATGAGGTTGAGATGAGAAGCCCGAAGCGCGAAGCGAAGATGCGAGAGAGATGACAATGGACTAGAGATGAGAAGGAGAGCTGCGGAATCGAAGAATATTCGAATAAAATTTCGGAGAATGTTGAGAATATCTGATCTAATCTAATAATTGCGGCGAAAAGGCATCGACAAATTGAGGAAAAATAATTTTGACTTTTTCCTCTTTTATTTCCTCATCAAAAAGGAAGGCGGCTGGAGTGCGCCAAACGGACGAGGTGCGGGCGACAGGCGGCTAATAAAATATCATGCACGTTATTTTCTCTCTACACTGTTTAGATATTAGCTATTACTCCCTCAAATCTCCAAAATTACATATGAGCCTCTCAATCTTTGAAATGGCTCGGTTAATTTTTCAGTTACTCCTTGAAAGTATGAGTTGGATTAACCAACACCCTCAAACATCAAATACCCCTCAAAACATGATGGAAGCTTTAGAAATAACCTTTGAAGAAGTTTCAAAATAGTTTTGGGGATTTTTTTTTGGTTGTCCAAGAAGATGATGCTAATGGATTTGTAGTTAGCGGTTTGGAGCAAAGCGAAAATGAGCTTGTTAAACTCCATATGCCTCACCCCCCCCCCCCCCCAAAAAAAAGAAAAAAGAAAAAACCCACCGTGATTTAAGGAAATATTTTGCTTAAATGTAATGGCAGTTAACTTGATGGACTGATTTGAAAGAATCCTTGGGATTTCATGAAATAAGGTTAAATTACCAGATTGACCTATAAAATAACACCTCTTTACCATTGAGGCCTATAAATTAACGTTGGAGACAGTTCGACATAAAAGTGATAAAGTTGTGATAATTAGACATTTTTAATACAGTCAGCAAGCTTTGAGTGAAAAAAAATTTAAGGAATTTTTTCATATACACCCCTCAAATCTTTCATATTTGTGTACCTACTCTCTCGGCCCCAATTTCTAATATTAGTAATGAAAAAAATTTCCTCCCTCCCTTTCCACTGTCTCCATACTCTTCCTTCACACCATCTTCTTCATTCTCTTCTCCTTCTAATCCCCAACCTCCCTTCCTCTCTTCCACTCCTTTTTCCTTATTTCCCATGTCCTCACTCTTACATTCTTCCTCGTTTTATATAGTCTCACTTCTCTTCTTAACTTTTTCAACTTCTCTCTCTCTCTCTCTCTCTCTCTCTCTCTCTCTCTCTCTCTCTCTCTACCTACTCTCTCGGCCCCAATTTCTAATATTAGTAATGAAAAAAATTTCCTCCCTCCCTTTCCACTGTCTCCATACTCTTCCTTCACACCATCTTCTTCATTCTCTTCTCCTTCTAATCCCCAACCTCCCTTCCTCTCTTCCACTCCTTTTTCCTTATTTCCCATGTCCTCACTCTTACATTCTTCCTCGTTTTATATAGTCTCACTTCTCTTCTTAACTTTTTCAACTTCTCTCTCTCTCTCTCTCTCTCTCTCTCTCTCTCTCTCTCTCTCTCTCTCTCTCTCTCTTGTTGGATATTTTGTTGGAGAAAAAGCAATTTTGCCTTCATGAAAAGTTCCACATAGAATAGTGTTATGAATACAATTAAAACGTGCGTAACGGCTATACATTATGGGGAACGTTACAAAAATTTATGACGAACGTTACCGTATTAATTGTAGGAATTGTAGTGGCTTTCTCAACCGTATATATACACCATTTATTCACATTCGGAATATACAGAAGCAATTCTCTCTTCTTCCTCTTCTCTCCTCTGCATAATATTTCCGTTTATATGTTGGTGTTATTTTTGGAAAACCGTTCTTCGTCTGAGCTGAAGCTCTGTTCAGACTTCTTTCGGGGTTTTTACCGTTAGGGGAGAGAGAATCGTCTGTGTCAGGACGATAGGAGGGTCATCAATCTTCTAGGGCAGTGTTTACACGACTACTCTCGATCAGGCCAAACTTTCTTATTATTTTATTTCGGATTTATTTTATATACTATAACCTTTGATTTGATAAATTTCCAACAATTTAGAAGATTGAGTAGTTTATAGCTATTGTTTTAAATTTGAAATTATTTTTAAAAAAATTATTACTGTTCATCGAAGTTACTATTCACCCATTTTAATTTTTGTTAACACTTTTTGTTAACACTGTTATTGTTTTTAAAAAAACAGTTTTGGTTACTGTTTATTTTTTTAAAAAAAATTTACTGTTTACATAGAGCATTATTCATCAGAGAATTATTTTCCTTGTTCATAAAAATGCAATTACTATTCATTCTAGAAAAATATGACTTCTGTAACTGTTTTCCTGGTTTACTTTAATTGCTGTAATTAATTAATAACACTGTAGCAATTAAGTATTCATGACAGTTGTTGTAGCAATTAAGTATTCATGACATTTACTGTAGCAATTAAGTATCCATGACAGTGACTGTAGCAATTAAGTATTCTTGACAGTTACTGTAGCAAATTACCGTGCCATTTATAAATAGTAAAAGTGTAAGTACTGTTCAAAATGCAAACCACTATTCACCAGTATTGTTCACACATTTACTGTTCACAAGTATTGATACGGTTTTTACAGTTACTGCTTACATATTTATTGTTAACAGTCACGATTCACATATACTATTAAGGAACTAGAAATGATTAAGTGAACCAGTTCAAGTTTTTTTGGATTAGTTGGTGTCTAATGTAATGTTTAGGGGTTGCGTAATGCGCTCCGCAAGGAACGAGCTACTTAATTAATCTTTGATTTCCCTCTAGTACTATCCTTACCTGGCTAAACTACACGGGTAAAACTTTAATCTTTTCACTTTATGAGTTTTTGGTTAAGAGTTGATCTAGTTAAGTTCCTGGTCTAGTGGTATTGACAATAACCTTTTTATTTATAGCTTTGTTTTACAATCATATGCAATATTATTAATTTATCACAAATCATTCCATATGGGTTTTCCATATAAATAGGGCTTATACATCATATGCTTATGTGATTGTATTTATTTGATAATTGTTATAGTTCCATTTTATATTAAAGCATGAATAAGAGGATCAGAATTATGAGAATAATTCATATTCATAAATTTAAATTTGGAAAGTCTCTTTTGTAGGCAACCAATTTAAATTTGGAAGGTCTATTTTGTAGGCAACCAATTTAAATTTGGAAGGTCTCTTTTATAGGCAACAAATTTGCAACCTCTTATAATACAAGAATTTAAATTTTATGCATATGAAGTATGAAATATACTTTAAGATATGAAATCATATTATAAGGTTCTCTTGAATACTTTGCATGTAATTATTAGTAATTTCATTATGTATGTGCATATGCACGCATGTAAAGATATAACTGTAGTATTTTAGATCCACGTTAGTTTGAAATGTTCAGATATTAAGGACAAATTCTAACCCTATGCAGTTACATCTTCAGACATGGACTACGATCATTTATGATCATAGACCATGATCTTTTATGCTAACATGTTTTAATGTCCTATCATTTTAATAGTGACTGTAAAGATTAATTTTATAGCTCTTTATTTGACTACATGTATAATGTTTTCTCATGAGATTTCAGGAAATGATTAGAGTTGATATAAATATGCTCTGTCAACTAGTATGCCTAGTTACAAGAGATGTGATGAATCAATATCCTGGAAAATTAAATCAAGATGTATGTCTTATAACTTCTATCTATATGATGAATAAAAGTTATATTAAAATTAGTCCATCAAATAATTAAATTTCTATTAGGTTCCCTGATCCTTATAAGGAAAGATTGATTTGAAAAATAACTTAAACAAGAAGGGGACCTAATGTCAAACAATATGAAAGACTAATTATAAAATAACTTGATAAATATATACAACGCCTGTTAGGCAAAGTTGTAAAGTCTAAAAAGAATCTTTCTGACTTATTCATCGAGGGAGATGGGATTAAGCCCTTAGATAAGGTTACTGACAGCGGCAACCCAACCCTTATTTGGAGATTTAAACCCATTTGTTGGTTCAATATGGTAGAAACAAGTTGGACTAGTGACACTTGTGTGGAGCATCGACCTAGGTATATTTATATATCATTATAGTAGCATGTGCTACTTCCCCTTTTCTATAATGACGATGCTCTTATGATACAGCTGGTTAGGCTGAGTTTTACTCTTAATAAGTCCAACACGTGTATTGCGAAGGGTATGATATCCAACTATAGTATCCTTGGAGAACTTACCTACATGAGAGGAACCGTGATGGTCACGGTTGGGGGGCTGGGCTAACCCCTAGAAACTCTCATGAGTCGGTTATTATGAGCATGACTTTTAATGCTCAACCCGCTTTGCTCAATAGATAAAGACGTATTGTGTGTGTTTTCGTCAATACCTGATTAAAGGAGCTTAATTCAAGGCTTAGTCCATTATGTCCCTTAGGTGGTGATGAACTCACTAAGGAAATGTTCAAAGCCGGAATCTACCTCTCCCGAATTCACGATAAGAAAGGTTGCCAACCTATATTTGTTTTGTGATTTATTATTTTATTTATTGTTTTTGAGTTTCCAGTCAATATTATCTTTTTTAGGGGGGCTGTTGGATATTTTATTGGAGAAAAGGTAATTTTGCCTTCATGAATAGTCTTACATGGAATAGTGTTATGAGTACAATTAAAACGTGTGTAACGGCTATACATTATGGGGAACGTTATGAAAATTTATGACGAACGTTACTGTATTAATTGTAGGAATTGTAATGGCTTTCTCAACCCTATATATATACCCCTTATTCACATTTGGAATATATAGAAACAATTCTCTCTTCTTCCTCTTCTCTCCTCTGCATAATATTTTTGTTCATACGTTGGTGTTATTTTTGGGCAACCGTTCTTCGTCTGAGTTGAAGCTTTGTTCTCTCGCCCAAGTACAGAGGCCGATCACTTTCGAGGTTTTTACTGTTAGGGGAGAGAGGATCATATGCTCCAGGGCGATAGGCGGGTCCTCAATCTTCTAGGGTAGTGTTTACATGACTGCTTCCGATCAGGCCAGACTTTCTTATTATTTTTTTCCGTATTTATTCTGCATGCTATAACCTTTGATTTAATAATTTTCCAACATCTCTCTCTCTCCCCCCTCCACTCCCCCATTTTATCCCTTCACTCTCTCCTCACTTTAGGTAAAATGTTTGATGTTAGTTCTGAAAAAGGAGGAAGAAGAGGGTGGAAGGGAGAGAGAAAGAGTTGATCCCCCCCCCTACTTGTGAAAAATTAGGGAAAATGTATAAATATGAGAG